AATAATGTTTTCCTGAGAGAGAATCAGGCTGAAAAGTCCTTCATGTAGAATGTCAAGAGAGCATTTCAGGCAATTGGACATCTAAGCAATTATTTCGACACTGTTAATGAAGATCGATAATTATTTCAAGCACTAATTAGTGCAACTAATGTTCTTGATGTCATTAGTATACCTCACAACAGTTTAAAAATTCCTACATCTGGTTAAACATCTCTCTCATGGGAATAAGCTTGTACAGTTCAATTCCACAATGATTTATTTCTTTACTACCTCCTATTAAACGCCAGGTATCATTGCGGAAATGAGTAGGCTAAGTCACCAAATTCATAGTCAAATGTAGGCTGAATTCAAGCTAATCTAAACTGATCAATATGTGACATCTGATCATTTGCTATTCCTTCTGGAAAAGGAAAGGTGCTGAGCAGGTGCTATGCGTCTCTCTTTTTCACATGGATGATGAACTCAAGGCCAGTCTCGACTCTCTAAGAGGGTAGAAAGAATCTCAGGGAGAGCTTCTCCCCCATTTTAAAGATTTAAAGGGGAAACAGGCTGAGTCACTGTGGATGTGTATGCAGATGGGCGTAACTTCTACCTGAGTTTTTCTACCTCCAAGAACATAGCTGTTTTTCCTCGAAGTGACTCAGAGTCCATACAAAGAGTTCTCATTTGGGCCACATCAGCCCCTGGGGACTTCACTGAACCAAGCAGGGGAGTGTCGGGGAGGCAGGAGTAAAGGTTGTCAAGGGTTCCTTCGCTTATGCACAACCTTCCTAGGTGGTGACTGTAGATTGTTTGAAAGACAAGCTTGTGCTCAGGGGATGGAGAAATCCAAGTTTTGTGTTTCTTGACCTGTGATGGTACAACCTGGATGCTACTCTAAGCTAATGACACCACCGATCCCTGATCCTACTCTTCGGTGCAGTGGATGTATGTGTGTGTGTGTGTGTGTTGCATATGTGTATATCCACACCCACACAAAGGTATTTTCCATGTCTGTCTTCTATCTCTAGGGATAACTATAGAAACTCTATGATTAGGAATGGATATAGATACTGTGGTTGGAGGAGGCAGGATATCAGGCCCTGTCCTGGCTTGGAGGGGATTCCATAAGACCTACCTGTAACTCCAAGTAATAGGTATAAGCCATTTTGTTTATTTTTTTTTTAATTTTTTAATGTTTATTTTAGAGAGAGACAGACAGAGTGCGAGCAAGGGAGGGGCAGAGAGAGGGAGACACAGAATCTGAAGCAGGCTCCAGGCTCTGAGCTGTCAGCACAGAGCCCGATGCAGGGTTTGAACCCAACAAGCTGTGAGATCATGACCTGAGCTGAAGTCCGACGCTTAACCAACTGAGCCCTAGGCCATTTTATTTTTTTAAGTTTATTTATTTATTTTGAGAGAAAGTGCATGCGCACACTTACACACACACACACACATACACACACACGAGAGAGAGAGAGAGAGAGAGAGAAAGAGACAGAGAGAAAGAGACAGAGAGAAAGAGAAAGAGTGGGGGGGAGGGGCAGAGAGAGAGGGAGAGAGAGAAGCCCATGAAGCCTCCACTCTATCAGCGTAGAGCCGACATGGGGCTTGAACTCACAAACCGTGAGATCATGACCTGAACCGAAATCAACCGACTGAGCCACCCACGTGCCCTGGTATAGGCCATTTTAGAGCAAAGAAAGTCTAAGTGTTACTAATATTATTTTTACACATCTTGGAAAGTCTACAAGCTCTCTACTCCAGCTTCCCATGTTGGATCACTCTATCAGTCATAAGGCAGGGTCAAAGCTGGAGCTCCTGGCACTCAGTGAGGGGCAGAGCATGTGCTACAGACCTAGAGGAGAAGCATGGGTCTCCAAATCACTGTAGCATCGTAGTTAGGTTTCCACAGCCCTTTCCAGTTTTGTTTTGTTTTTTTCCAAAATAAGAGACCACTCTCCCCATTTTGCAGATGCAAAAAACAAGGGCCAGACTTTGCAGCCACACAAAGCGTTCGTGACTCGGCCAGTGCTCAGAGCTCAAGGGAAACCACTGAAAAGAGAGACCATGACAACAAAAGCTGTCTCCTCCATTCTCACTTCAATCTGTGGGCAAAGAAACCACAACACTCTTCCTGTCAGAAGGTTCCAACTCGTTCTTCTCTCTCCTCATCTAGCCCAAGCCAAACTTCCAGTTCCCTTCCCACGACATTAGATTCTCAACCTTCTTCCTCATCATCTTCAAGTGTGTTCCGTGAAATAAAATGAACAGAGAGGGATCTTGTTAGTGGAGCAGTGGTGTGGGCAGGGGCCCTTCCTTCACAGAAAGTGAGGACAAAACAAAACAAAATCTACAGGTCCAGGAGTTCAGATTCTAGACCCGTGTGGTCTGGTGCAGTAGCCACTAGCCACGTGCAGCTGTTGAGCACTTGAGATGTGCCAAGGGCAGCAGAAAGACAAAATGTTTTCTTTCAATTAATTTTAATTACACTTAAGTCTTGAAACTGACCATTCAATTCAGTTATTGGACAGCATAAGTAGGTATGAAGCAACTGAGATTTGTTACTTCTTCAACCATAAACATTCTGAACTCTAATTGCAGATCAAGTATTTCCAGTGAAAATGGTAGTGTCTAAACTCTGAAGTGCTAGAGTTTGAAATACACACCAGAGTTGGAAACTTTGCAGGAACAAGACGCAAAATATCTCATTAATAATTTTTATACGGATGTATGTTGAAATGAACATACTTTAGATCTATTGCATTCAATAAAGTTATATCATTAAAATTAATTTCACCTGATTCTTCTTTTTACGTTTTTAAATGTTGCTACTGGGAAATTTTAAATTGCATATCATATTTCTATGGGTTCTCTGCTCTAGATGTTTAATGTTCCTGGGGATAGTGCTGGAGAGGGTATATCCTGGCCCAGAGTCTCATTTATCACTTGCCCTCTCATATTGCTACAATGTCCCTCCAGAACACTTTCCAGCCCCCTCTCTGAATTAGTGGTTTCATGTTACTAACACTGGGAACATGCAGTTCCCTTCACCCTTACCCTACCGACAGTATTCTCTCTCCTTAATCCTGCTCCACCGTTGCCTCCTCTGCCTGGCTTTGGAAAACCCATTTCTACTACGAAGAGCTCTCCTGTCCCTCCCCATTTCAGTCTTTTCCTTTAACAGCACCTTCCCTGACTTTTTTCTGACGATCTCTGTCTCTTAAAATAGCTTCATTAGAGGTGAAGGTCTTCATGAGAGGTTGGCTTCATTAGAGGTCTTGGAAGAAGGTCAGAAGGAGAGGCCGTCATCGTCTGTGTTTGTAAGGTCTCTCTGTGGCCACATTTCTCCACCTTCCCTCCCTAACGCTGGTGCCAGATGTTCACGCCCCTCTGTCTTTACTCCCTTTTCTTCATTCTAACCCTTTCTCTCTGACCCTACACCTCAGGTAGGATTTCTGTAAAACAGGCTCTGCCTGGAGATGGAGATCTGCAGGTAGGAGGTCTATTGGAAAGTAGCCTTGGGAACAATACTTGTAAGAAAGCGAGAAAACGAAGCTAGAGAATCAACTTGAACTGAGATGCAGTTTCCACAGAAGCCTCAGCTGATGCCTTGGGGAGCCCAGGAGCTACAATAACCCTTTAGGGTCCTCTGGTATGAAAGCAAACGGATGTGCCTTTGTATCCCTGCATTAACCGATTGGGCCAAATGGCCCCATGGAGGGGCAATCTGGCTTACAGTCCCCACTACTGAAATGACCCTCTCCAAAGACTCCCAAAGATCTCCTCATTTCTAAGTCTAATCCCGTTTTCTTGGGCACCTTCCCTTTGGTGTCCCTGTAGCATAGGCTCCTATGGAACGTGCCCTCTTCTCCTGGATCTGGGTGTCCTGCACAGTGCTGACCCTCCTGGATGGCATCAGTCTCTTTCCCTGGCTCCTTTTCCAGTGTCCACCTGGGCTCTGTCCTCAGCCAGGCCCTCTCTACACTGTCCAACCTCCCTCCATCTTGTCTTCACTCAGCTTTACATCACCCAGAGTTTGCTCTCAGACTTCCACACTCATAGCACTACCATGGTCCTTCTTTGGATCCCTTTCTACCCCTCCATCTACAGCACACACAGCAAGCTCTGTAGAAACCCCACCCACCGCATCTTCCACATTCATCCCCATTTCAGGTCTTCTTCTCACAGGGACCCGTCGGCTCTGCGGATGTTTCTCCACTGCCATTGCCTTGGTCAGCAATCCCTGCCTCCAATGTCTTCCCTGACCTAGCACCCTGGTAAATGGGTAACCTTGATCACAGCAGTCAAGTTCCAGAAGCACATCGTTGGATAAGGAGGGGCCTTTGTAGCTTTGAGAAATAATATATGCTCCACGCAAGAACAGAGCCAGTGAGAGGCAGCTTTGCACCTGTTCTCAGCCAGGGCCCAGCCAGGGCCGTGTGTCCCCCCTTCCTCTTTCCTCCAGTCTAGGAAGAGGTCTTGGTCCTCCCTGGGCCGAGGAAACATAAAGCCTATGGTCCACAGGACTCTCACTGGGACAGGGCAGTTTTGGGAACCTTCCTTATGCACAAAGGATCTGCCAAGGGAGAGGGGCGGCTCTTTTAGATCAGAGGGGCTTGTGCCTAGAGTCCCTGGGAGCGCGCACAGGCCAATTTCTCCCAGGACGGGAGCCATGGACTAACCTAGGGGAAAGCAAGAGCGGAGAAAGGGCCTAGGGCGGGAGGGGGCGCGGGGGAGCTTCGGGCAGATGGGAGGTTTGCGAGTCGCCCCTCCCCGCGAGGATCCCCGGGCAACCACACAGCTGCCCCTAACTCCGACTTAATTGGCTCTGTGAGCTCCGAATTGAAGACGGGCCAACCTGCAAACAAAGACGCGGCCCAGCTCAGGGCTTCTGGGCGAGGCCCGCCCGGCTGGGAGCAACGGAGCCTGGGAATCCGAGCGGGGCGAGCCGGGAGGGTGGGCGCTCGGGAAGCGGGGCGGGGCGGGACGGCAGGAAGTGCCCGGGGTGCTGGGCCGGAGCCTGGCTGCCCGCACCCTGACCCTCTCCGGGTGGGAGAGCCCGCAGCGCGGCGGGGTCAGAGGCTCCGGGTCCGGTCGCTGCGTGAGGAGCCCCGCTGCGGGAGGCCGGGTAAGTGCCGGGGGCGGCAGAGAAGCGCGCGTGGCTCGGGGGTGGGTGGGGGGGGGGAAGGACGCGCGGGGACCAGGGGCCCGGGCAGGCCCGCAGCGCCCCAGCCCCGCGGGGAGGAGGTGCCCCCACCTCCCTACCCGCGTCCCCGCCGCCGTTCTAAGCCGGAAGGTGGCGGGGCCTGGGCTGGCGGGGGCGAGCAGACTCTGGATGCGGGTGGGGGCAGGGTGCCTCGGGTCCCTCGGGATGGGCGCGTGCACGCACTGGGGTCCGCGTTTGTGTCCGTAATCATACTGTCCAGCGTGCCTTTCTGCACTTAAGACCCTGAGAGGGAACTCTGGGCTTCTGAGTGCCTCGTGCGCCCAGTGTGCTCAGTGCGTGTCTGTCTCTCTTCAAAATGTCATTCTCTTTGTCCACCTGAATTCTGGTAGCTGGCTGTTACGCATAAGCCCGGGTGACCGATCCAGAATAATCCTAGCTACAGTTGTATGGAGCTGGGCCCCGTACCCCGTGCAAAACGGAGTTTGCTACATGCTAGCTTGCTACATGCTAGCAGCTGGTGTGTCTTATGCATGCACAGGTCTGTCCCTACCGCAGATTGTCCATGAGTCCCATGGGCGCAAAGCCGCGTATTTGTGGGGACACGGCCCTGCAGGCCCTGTCACCTGTGTTTGCCCGTCCACTCCTGCAGGCGCAGTTGCCTGGTTTGATAGGGGACAAAGGAGGATGTGGATAGTTCCAGGGTACATTGTTTTCACCAGTGATGTGTGCAGTGTTGACAAGTGTGAACTGGCTGGAAAATATGAAAGGGAGGAGGGGTCAGTCTGCTGGGGCAAAAGAGCATCTCAACTTGGGTCTGAATTGCTCTCGATCTCTCCAGCACACATTATGAGGCAGGGGTGGCTCTGAGAGAAAAGGCAGCCTCTAGAAACACTCCTGAGTACACTCCCCCAAGGCATAAGATGTAGATGGAAAGGTGGGAGAGAGAATGAGGGTGGATACTCTGTTTAATTTGTGAGCAGCTTGATGATAGCTACTTTTGGGGTCTGGAGCCCCGGGTTTGCATCAGAATTCAGTGGTGGTTACTATGTCACTAGCAATGTTCCCTGCACAGGTTGCTTTGGGTCTCAGTTGCTTTGTGTGCAAAATGGGACTAATAACTAATGCTGTCCTCCCTACCTCGTGAGGTGACCCGGGGCTCATTTTGGCTGATGCCTCCACGAGTACTGGGACAGCTTTAGTTCCCGAGGGTGCAGGGCAAACACTCTGAGACTTGGGGAACACTCTGAGAGCCTGGAGCTGTTTGGCTGGGGGTAGGAGAGGGAGCCATTTGCATGCTGCTTCCCCTGATGTTCAGCATCATAGGAGCGTGTGCCTGGAGCTCGGCTTTGGACTCTTGGTGTGTGAGATACCTACAGACCTGTGTGTGGTGCCGGAGGTTTGTGTGAATGCCTTCTCCAAGAAGAAAACTGGCTTGGCTGGTCTTTAAATCATTTGACCCTACAGCAGCTTGACTTTCCAGATAGCCTTCCTCCAGGTGAGCCTCCATCTTGCCAACAACAGAAGCAGTAAAGAGCGCATTCCAGTTTGCAACCGGGAGATAGGAGGGGAGGAAACTTCCCCAACCAAGGTCATGGGTCTGGAATGCCAACTGCATGGTGCTGTCTGCTGGGGTACAGCGCTCCCAGGCTCTGACTGGCTGAGGAGGGCTGAGAGAGTGCCAAGAGTCATAACAGAGGGTCCTGAACACCAGGGCACGGTTGATGGTCTGTGGTCACTTAGATATCCCCTGTCACAGAAACTTATTTGCATGCAGTGGCTATTTAGTAATCAATGTGGAGGGAGAGAGCCCTGGAAACCCAGAGTCAAGTACTGGCCCAGGCTTCTGACCTGATGGGTGACCTGGAAAAAGTCACTTCACCTTTTTGGGTCTGCTTTTTCATTGGTCAAAATCAGGACAGCTTTCCAGATTCTTGTTCTGACTATCAGCTCACGTTTCACTTCCTCAGACAGGCCTTTTCCAAACCTGCCGTCTAAAGTAGCCTCCCCCTGGCCTGCAGTCACATTGCCCTAGTCCGTAACACTTTCTGTGTTCTGAACTTAGCTCTGCTATAGCTAGCCCCCCAGGGAGATTCGGGAAAGCAGGGGCTTCCCCTGTCCTGTTTCCTGCTGGCTCGCCAGCACCCGGAACATAGTAGGTGCTTGAGAAGCATTGTGCCAGTGAGCAAATAACTTAGTAAGCAAGGAATGGCAGCCAGCTTTTCATATTGTGCTCCGTGGAGCTTTTGAGGGAGGAGCAAGCCCCGTGAGCAGGGCCATGGGTCCCTCACTGCAACAGCTGGGGGTTAATTTGAGTTACGGGCTGCCTTCCAGGTAGGATTTCCTTTGAAGGAAGGACCCTCCCACTAAAATAAAACTGGGGAACCATTGTAGTGGAAGACTCCTGGGTGCCTTTGCAACTCCAGCTTGAAATGATAGTAGTGCATCTTGAAGTCATGCCCTCGGTTCAGACACTCAGCTCCCACATGTCATTTCTGCCTGGCCAGGGAAAGTATCACAGGGCTCTTTGTTTTGCAGCCGGTTAATTTCCTGACTTCTTGGACAAGGTTAATATGAAAATGACTTTGCACACAGTACGGCAGCACAGGGCGTGTGGGAACTCTGAACCGTGTGTGAGATGAGCAGGGGCGGCACCGAGTGCTGCAGAGTGGATAAGCCACCCTCTGATATTTGAGAGCTACCTGTTCAGGGTGACCGTGTCTATCACTGTCCTCCCAGGCAGGCTGCCCAGATGTGCCTCCTGCCCAGCAGATGTCCACTCAGTGTGGCTTGTCTTGAGTAGTTGGCAGTGGACAGGAGCCCTCTCCCTGAGTGATTCCTGACCCTAGAAGATGGCGACATGACAGTGCGCCCCGACCCATACTTAACAGCAGCCCTGTCAGCCCCAAGTAAAACAGCCTCTCCTGCTGTCTCTTCCTGTAGATATGTTTGCGGATGGCATTGAGACTCCCGTGTCCAGCACTGCGCCTGGGTTTTGGGGATAGAACATATGTTTACCGCAACCTTTATTAATTCTCATGGGAGTTAGTATACCACATGTATACTGTGATATTATGTAACACATAATGTTATATATAATTATGTAAGATATATTAATGTTGTATAGTATATAATATATAATACAATGTGTGCTATATATTGTATATTAATATATATGTTATATAACTATATTACATATTATAGTATATACTATTAGTGTCGTATATACTATAGTGCTATTACTATTATATATGTGGTATATAGTACATTACTATACTAATATATAGTATATTATAGTAATATATAGTATAAGACATGTAGTACTATAAATAGTATCTAATAGTAATAGTACATATAGTATATAATAGTATATACTAATAGTATATAACATATAGTAGTAGTATATATTAATAGCACACCCATTGAGGGAGAAGGAGGTTCAGCTGTTTTGTTGGGTTGTTTTGGGAAGGCAGTTGAGGGAGACTACAGAGAGAGGTGGAGGGAGGAGATAGAACCCACTGTTAATTCCTTTGGACCATTGACCTTGCTTCTTGTGGACGTCCCTGCTCTAACAGACTCCTGTGGGCTCCTGGTTTCATGAGGTTTGTACTTACAAGGAGGGTGTGCTGTCTGCTGCCCCGGTTGAGGGCAGGGCTTATCAATATGCACATATTCACCTGGTGCCTATTATGAGCCTCCAGGCCTGCCAATACCTAACCTCCAGGCATCTAGTTGTTGAGGAGATTGAAGTCACCCCTGGGGAAGAGAGGAGAAAACAGCTTAGTGCAAACTGCTTGGCGTGGAGCTCACCCAAGCCACAGCTGGAGCTCAGGGAAGGGAAGGAAAACCGGTATAAGGGAGGGAGCGGTGGAGGGCAGAGAGCCCAGCTCTGGATCCGAGGCTCCAGCCTGGAATCCCAGCCCTTCCCCTTCCTACTGGGTGACCTTCCCTGTGTTATGTGACCTCACTGAGGTTCAGTTTTTCTCATCTGCCCACCAAAGAAAGAATCTCTAACTCCTGGCTGGCCTGGGTAGGGATGGCTGAGTTAGGCCTGGAAAGCTCAAGTTCATAGAGGGGCACAGAGTGTGTGGGCTGCCCAGGGTGAGCACGTGGCACAAGGGTCTTTTTGACAAGGGGTCGACCAGGTGGTAACTGCTGCCCCGTGCTTTCAAACCCTGATCTTGCATGCAGGTCACGGGGGATGGGAGGGGAATGGTCCCCCCACCACCGGGCCAGCCAAGCCCCCAATTCCTCCTCTGGGCGCCTTCCCCACTGGGACATTCTACTCTCCACACACAACTGCGGGCAGGATGTAGCTGGATTTTCAGCGGCTCCCTCCCACCTCACTGCCCTGAGTAACTATCAGGCCCTTCTTAAAGGCTTAAGGAGTTTTACTGCAAAATGCCAAGAATTTAAGAATCGAGGATATTACAGAGGTTCAGGAAATGTTAAAGGAAATTGCTCTGACATTCCCTGATCTGGTTTGAAGCAGTAAGTTTTGAAATAGAGTTCCCTGACCCTCTTTGATGGCAGCAGGTGAGAGCCTGCAGTTTTTCTCACCGGTGTCCTGACTCACAGTTTCTTCTTTTTTGAACAGGGAGCTCACGTTCTGAAAGATTCATGTGAGCCAAACTTCAGTATAAATGAAAATGTGTTTCTCCACCGGAAACAATTAATCAAAGACCATCAAACTGATAGTGATTGCACTACGCAGTGCAATGAGCCTCCAGGCCAGCCAATACCTAACCTCCAAGCATCTAGTTGTTGAGGAGATTGAAGTCACCTCCGGGAAGAGAGGAGAAAACAGCTTAGTGCAAACAGCTTAGTTATAGAATATAACATATAGTAGTATTATATATTAGTCTCCTTTTCTGCTTTTGTCATTTACATTTTTAAAAGATCAGCCTAGACCATTTAAACCAACAAATTCCAGTATGTTTAAAGGCTCAGAAAAGAACCAAGAA